GGCCTCTTATGGAGTTTTGATTAAATTGAACGTTCCAACCCCCTAGGATCTCAAGAAAAATTTGAAAAAATTTGAAGATATGGGGAATGATGTGTTCAATGTGATGGCGACAAAAAACAATGGGGTACCGGGGTGAATAAGAGAGATATTTCAACCCGCCGTACCCATTTGATCCCATGCTTTCTCGAGGTTCGTCACGCGAAATAGAGGATTTTCCGCATTTATTTTCTCGATGTCTAGTTCCGGTTGCGGGTTTGAAATTTCGTCGGATGGATGAATACATATTTCTCCAATGATGGAGGGAAAGAAAAATTTTTTTTGAATCTTTTTTCAAATTCACTTGGCACCCTTAAGATCATCTCACAAGTCAAAATTCTTTTCTTGATTTTCGTGCATTACCGATCATTAGGTTGATATGGCTAGCAGTTGAATGGTGGTGCCTGTTATTATCAGGGTTGTGGAGGACTTTTGGTACTATTACAGTGGAAAATGTTCAGTAATCTCCCCACAAAATTGAAAGTAAAACGCTGGAAAGTTGGTTGACCCTAAAACACTTTCCCCCACACTGACGGCCGCAGCCACCGCCACATCAGCAATAATATAAAAACCCACAAAAAACGTGATCGGAAGTCTCGGCCCACTCGATTGTCCGCAATCCTCGGAGGCCTGCAAATCCCCTGGAAGTGGATTAGGCACGTTTTATCCCTCTCATTATCATTTTTCCTTAATTTCTTGCGGCTCTCCGAAAAATGAGTAAAACAATCAGTGACGAATACGTGAAAGCGGGTGTCATCGATGCGAGACGGCTTATAAAATCAGCCTCCCCGATTCCCGGACAATTCAGTTCAACCGTAATCCCAGAGCAACAACTGTTTTTGACATGAATAACTCGGTAAATACGCCGATCCGCGGGTTGAATGGGATTTATCGAGGGAAAAATTGGGAATATTTCGGCGAATGGAACACGTGACGTAATTAATTCATCAGCGCGCCTTTAATTGGCCCATCCGCATCAACTGCGCCAGTGTACCCAAGTTTATTAGATAGAGTTTGTTGATTGGTCAATTAGAATCGACCCGTCTCCAATTTCACACACGTGAGGGGGTCGGGTAAAACCGTAGAAGTCGTTGTAAATTTTGGTTTTATCGGTTTCATGAATAATTAATTCGTGTTAACGAGTGGGAAGACCCAATTATGCATAGAAATATGAATTTGTTAAGGTAAAAAGGTTGAGACAAAAATTATGGGACAAAAAGTGATGAGAAATTCTCTTTTGGGAATTTTTACGAAAAAAATCGGATAAAATCTGGAGTGAAAATTAATTTTTCCTGTTGAGCTCTGGAAGTTTTATAGATCGAAATATTATTTTTGCGAATGAGAATTTTAAATTAATAACACTCACCACATTTAAACAAAATAGAATAGAATCTCAAAAAAATCGGGAAATGGTCAGGACCAACGAGACATCAATTCCAGTGAAAAATCGGAGGATTGAAAATTCGGATTCTCTCAACATAATAAAAAGAAATCCATAAACTATTTTAAAGCACCCTCGAGGCGCCACTCGGTCTGTCTGTTGGGAATTTTTACGAAAAAAATCGGAAAAAAACTGGAGTAAAAAATTAGTTTTTCCTGCTGAGCTCTGGAAGTTTTATAGATCGAAATAGTATTTTTGCCAATGAGAATTTTAAATTAATAACACTCACCACATTTAAACAAAATAGAATAGAATCTCAAAAAAATTGGGAAATCGTCAGAACCACCGAGACATCAATTCCAGTGAAAAATCGGAGGATTGCAAATTCGGATTCTCTCAACATAATAAAAAGAAATCCATAAACTATTTTAAAGCACCCTCGAGGCGCCACTCGGTCTGTCTGTTGGGAATTTTTACGAAAAAAATCGGAAAAGAACTCGAGTGAAAAAGTAATTTTTCCTGCTGAGCTCTGGAAGTTTTATAGATCGAAATATAATTTTTGCGAATGAGAATTTTAAATTAATAACACTCACCACATTTAAACAAAATAGAATAGAATCTCAAAAAAATCGGTTTCTCAAAAAAAATCTTTAAAAAATCGATTCTCTCAACATAATAAAAAAAATCCATAAACTATTTTAAAGCACCCTCGAGGCGCCACTCGGTCTGTCTGTTGGGAATTTTTACGAAAAAAATCGGAAAAGAACTCGAGTGAAAAAGTAATTTTTCCTGCTGAGCTCTGGAAGTTTTATAGATCGAAATATAATTTTTGCGAATGAGAATTTTAAATTAATAACACTCACCACATTTAAACAAAATAGAATAGAATCTCAAAAAAATCGGTTTCTCAAAAAAAATCTTTAAAAAATCGATTCTCTCAACATAATAAAAAAAATCCATAAACTATTTTAAAGCACCCTCGAGGCGTCACTCGGTCTGTCTGTTGGGAATTTTCACGAAAAAAATCGGAAAAGAACTCGAGTGAAAAGTTAATTTTTCCTGCTGAGCTCTGGAAGTTTTATAGATCGAAATATTATTTTTACGAATGAGAATTTTAAATTAATAACACTCACCACATTTAAACAAAATAGAATAGAATCTCAAAAAAATTGGGAAATCGTCAGAACCACCGAGACATCAATTCCAGTGAAAAATCGGAGGATTGCAAATTCGGATTCTCTCAACATAATAAAAAGAAATCCATAAACTATTTTAAAGCACCCTCGAGGCGCCACTCGGTCTGTCATCCCGACATTCAGCTGGTGCACCAAATCCCCTTGACCCGATTCATTCATCTTTTATATTAAGGAAAACCGAGTAGCGGAGAAACTGGAACAATAAAACTGAATTTCAATTGCAGTGCGCCCTCGTATTCCTCATTGGTGTCTCCATGGCAGCCGCCGGGACGAGATACATCGCCATACCCATTGATGGGATCGATGTTATTGAGGTGAATTCAATTCTACCCCCAGCTCCGCGCTATCCGCGTCACACCGAGGCTTACCTGTTGCCGAGTCCGCAGGAAACTGAGAGCCAAGTGCCCAGGATCGAGCGATCGGCCTCCCAAATACTCGATTACGTGGATTTTGGGGCACAAACTGGTGTTAATGGGGCGTACAGCTGGTATGCGGATTATCCAGCCCACCACTGATTTAATGAGGAGCTTAAAATCCACCGATAACTCGAGATCGGCTGATCGAAAAATTGCAATTTTTTTTTCATTTTAAAGTTTTTTTTTCAAGCCTGAAAATGAGCTCTGACTCATCGAAATGGCATCATTCACCTCGGCGATATTCACGATCAAAGAGAAGCCCAACTTTCTTCGAAATTCAACCGATTTTATGGAATTTCATGGGATTGAAAACCGTGAAATTCCCCAATTTTCATTCATTCTCAAGATCATTTTTCAGGCTTGAAAATGAATTTTGAGTCACGCAAATCGCATCATTAGTTCAGGAGACACAGACCATCAAAGAAAGTCTATTTTACTTCACTCAAGAATAACTCCATAGAAATGTGTAAATAAAAAGACTGCGTAATCCACTCTACAGTAATAATAGATTTATTTTCTTCGGTACACTTGGTTTTCCATCTCCACACCACTCAACACTCGTTAGGAATGCACAGACATCGTTTCCCCCTCAGACTCCGCTCCCCCAGAGTCCCTCCTCTCACTCTTAAACCAAAAACTTCATTATGCAGATAAATAAATTAAACAGTACAGTCCCCACGTCCCCGAGATCTTGGATTATTGTGCGATAATAAACCCTTCATTTTCCTCCGTCGAAATATTTCCGACCTCTAGATGCCAATCAAATTGGAATTAGAGAGCATGTCCGCGTGGCTCAATCCAACTTTCACCGATTTTTCGACATTGACTTCTGCCTGGTGGACCGATAACTCAAAAAAACCCAGAAACAATGCAATTCCTCATAATCACATCCTTGAAAAAGTAAAAAATATACATTCGCATATTTTGTATTCAAATATATTAAAAAATTTATCTATCCCCCCCTCAGATCTCAACTAAAACTGAAAGAATCTGCAACTCTGCACCGAGTTCCATCGCCGAATGCCAAATTATTCTATCTAGTTACACTGAAGACACTGAAAATTTCACAATTTTCCCGTAACATTCATCGATTAACCATATATTATTCATTCTATCCCCCTCAACACTCCACCCCCCCCCCATTTACCTATTATTTATACAATATATTTCATATAGATTCTCCAGATAAATTCATATTTAAATATAAATCAATAGATACAATCGCGATTGTAGACAGAGACAGAATTTAACGACCGGACGATTAAGTCATTCGAACGATCATCGAAGCAGGTACATTTGCATTATCCTTTCCCCACGTTCGTTATCCCAAAAATAATACATTTCAATCATTATAACTGACTTTCCCACGACACACGATCCACCCTAAGTACATGCAAATAAAAAATAAAATCAACGAAAGAGAAAAAATAATAATAATCGAGATCTAATTAAATAAATTGCGGGGTAAAGCGACTACTTTGGAAATAAAATTTGCACCACGGCATTGCCTTAACAATTAAAATAAAACGAAACCTCTCGTGATTTTTCTCCTAAAGATGAAAAGATTTCTAATCTTTGTAAGTCAATGAAGAATACTGCGTTTTTCAATGCTCCCTGCGAGACTAAAATCATTATTAATGAAGCACGATCACATTAAAATTAATTGTACTCAAGTATTAAGAAACGATAATTCATTACGATTATGCATTGTTGTACTGAAATGGCGATAACATGTAATTAATTGGCGTATGGAGTGTGTTTGGCCGTTTGTGATGTATCATTTAATTTTTCATTTTCACGAATGTGCGAGTTGACACGCGATGTTAAACCTCATTTTCCCATTGTTTGCCTGAGATACTCGGTGAAAACGATAACGAAACTTTGACGTTATACACGAGTTTCGAATGGAGTTTGTTGGAACCGAGGGCTTTTAGTACGATTAATTGAGTTTACGGTGTTGATGGAGGACTCACCGCCATTGGAAACCACAAAGGGGTGAAAAATTTTCAGAATATTCGAGGAGAGTAATCACAATATTTCAAGGACTCTGATAAATCGTTTGAGATTCCGACAGATTTCAAGGAATTTCATTTAATTCAAAAGACATTGTGGAAAATAGTTCTAAGTCATTGAAGTGAAATTTCAAGTTTTTAAAACGCTTTTCCTGACAAAGATGAGGGCTCACATACCCCTTTAATAATATTTTGCTTTAAATATTGCAAGGAATTTGAAATTTCTGGAGAAGCTTTTACGAGAATTCAAAAGCACTTATGAGAGTCATCAAAGACTCGACTCGACCGAAATTTCCCCTGTGGTTAGCCATGTGTTTAAACGTTCAGACTGGTAACCCGAGGGTCGTGGGTTCAAATCCAACCTCCGACATTTTTTTTTTTTTTTTTTTTTTTT